CTTCAAACACAACCTCATTTGGCCATCCATGAAAAAGCTACTTAACCTCACACTTTTCTATAGCAATACATACTTCCTACGGGCACTGCACTAGTACTACAAACCTCATTTGTCATTTTATATCAATTTCCTTCAAACTTAGCCTAATGAAGGTGTTATTTTAACCAACCAGGGTCAGTCACCTTATCCTCCTATATGACAAAATAAACACTTAAATGCCAAGAAGCAGCCTCTCTTTTCTAGTATCTCTCTCACTCCCTTCTTTCTGACTTAAGATATACGTCTCTTTCGACCTGCTAAATTTCACTATGACACTGCGTCTTATGCCAACTGCCTCTTGTGTTGGCTTTAATTAGTGGGAAATTGTCTGTCAGGATGTGTTATGTGCGGTGATGCTACATTGTTATCTTTGGAGCTAACGTTAGGATGGTCCCTTTGATGTGTCTACCATTTTATAAAGTCAGCAGAGATGAAGCTGAATCTCAGGCCAGCAGACTGTCAGCGATTACAGTAGCGCTCATCTCTACTACTTTGCTGGAGTTGTCAAGGTGTCACTGAAATATGGTTTAAACTGTCCTGATAGTCCATGTTTTGTGTTTATTCAACACATTCTCACTCCTAACTTGTGAAATATGGCGGCTTGGTCAGTAGCATCGTTTGGCTTGTTGTTCATTCTGTGCCACTGTAGAAACATACATCCACTAAACATGACCCCTAACGTCTGTAGATAAAAACAGGTCATTCTAATTCTTATTTTCAGGTGATTATACACTAATGAAAACCTAGCTATGATTATTATTTTCCATTTGTGCCAATAGATCCTCCTAAACTGCACTTTTAAACACCAACAGTTTGGTGAGGTTAATGCACAGAAACTACAGAAAAATAGGTATGTTACTTAATATAAGTTATGGAATGTAACACAAACAGCGGTCTCCTGAGAAACAGATAGACAATTCCTATTTTCAGGTGATTATATACAAATGAAAACATACCTATGAATATTATACTCAATTTCTGCCACTAATTCCTCCTAAATGTTAAACGCTGGACCTTTAATAGAGCAATACTTTAAACTTTTGCTGTGTGTGTGTTAAACAAAGCCAGTCAGTCTCAACTATGTAATCCCCAGCATCAACTGATCATCAGGTCTGTGTGCAATAGGAAAATACCTTAAAAGATGATGTGATGTAAGGTTGTCAATCTGTTCATTTGTGTCCCTCTTATCTATGTGAGCATGACAACCAACCATTTAAGTCTATTAACAGTCTTCATATCAGTCTCATCACGGCGTAACATTAATTAACCAGCAAGCTAGGGACTTGATTTATTTAAAAATTACAAACACATTTTTAATTATTTATTTTACAAAAGTTGGTAACAATAATGCTTCAGACTGCATAAGTTTGACATTGTTGTTCCTACATTCCTATACATTAAAATATTGTTGTAGCTATACTAAGCTACTGTGTTTCTTGTCTTTATTTCTTAATTTTATTTTTACATTCTTCTTCTTTATTTCTTTTGTTTTCCTTATTAATTTCTGTACATAATAATCATACATTGTCACCAGTATGTTTAGGTGTACCTAGGAATGTTCATAAAAAAATAATAAATAGGGTGAAGATCCCAGACCAGCTCAGGCATTAATGAGTCTGATGGAGGTAGGCACAAAGCTCAACATGGCCCGCTTAGTCTTAAATAGAGGTGACCTGTATATGCGGCCTGAAGGTAAGTGGCTGTATTGGTTGTGTACTGTGTGTGTGGAGTCCGAGGCTATTTGCAGTCCTTTCATTTTAACCCGTCTGCTTTAGATGCCTGGTTCCAGGTCCAGAACAATCATTTTGCTGCTCATTCTGATGATCTTGTTTAGAGGGATGAGATAAATGTTACTCAGAGCACCAAACCAGGCTGTTATGTTGAAGGTGATGATGGATTTGATGAAGCACCTATACTGCTAATCATTTGTTTCTTTGTTTTTTTGTGTGCTTTTTGTATAAAACTATGAAAAGGAGAGAACACTTTCTCTGCTATGGTGAAGAAAAAGTGAAAATAAATGTTTAAATGCTTTTACTATACATAAAAAAAACAATAAACTCAAAGAAGAAACAACAAAACAGCAAAGAAAACGTTGACAACCATAGGTGCTACCTATGTTTCTACCACAACGCTTACTCTAGTTTTCTCATTAGCAGTTACTAAGCAACAATGATACAGAATCAATTTTGGCCCCACAGAAAGAAATGTACAGTATGTATCATTCCTGTAAAAGAGATGCCGATTTTCTTAGTTTCAACCAGCATAACACTTTATTTCTCTTATTGGTAAGGGGTTAAGCCTGAGCTGGGTCTAAATGGTTGTATCACTGTCAGTCACTTTAGCAGCCCTGAATCACTTGACACCATTTTTGATGATAGGCTTAAAAAATGAGGTAATATAGTATGAAGACAGTTATCTTTGAGTATACATAATTTTGTCTCTTTTCTAGTGTGGAAGCAATACTTAGTTAAAAGCCCAGTTGGAATTACTATGGAACAGGGACAAAGAGTGATGTGGGAGTGAGGACCCCAGTGATTAGCCATCTTTTTCACTGCCTGATAGTCCTTTTAACGCAGACATTCAGGTCACAATCCAACATCCATCTCTTACTCTAACTCACCCTCTCGCTCTCTTTTTCTAATGATGTGATACTATCGCTAATGTTAATAAAAGAATGCTTGTGGAGATAGAAAGAGAGACAGACAGAGTGAGAGAGAGATAGAGAGACGGAAAAACAAAAAGAAAAGACGAAGCAGACAAACAAACAAAGGCGTGTGAAGGGTGAATGAGGGTGGGTTGCCATTAATGAATGCGTCTGGCAAGCAAATGTGTGTGAGTAACCTGCTTTGGCAGTTGTGTATGTAATTATGGTCATCAACATGAATCAACATTTGGGTTTGAATTTGAGTTATAGCAATGGAAGGTAAATAAAAAGAGATGTCTGTTGTAGACATACAGAGACACAGAGAGAGGATGCCGAGGGGTGCTGAGATCAGTGATACATGTGTTATCTAATCAACTGACTGATGAAGTAAGGAGAGTGGCTGATTAGAGTAACAGGGTCAGGACAGAGAAGGTAATTGTTGATTTCATCAGTTAGCTGGACTTCCGCTGAGACACCAGAACCTGGGTTAACTACCTGGTTTGCTGCACAGACAAAAAGGTGCAGATTTACACGACAACCTCAAGCAGTCATGAATTCCTCAAGAAGGCCAAACTGCAGAACATATGTCATGCATTCCAATGTGATGAATGTCAATAAGCATGACGTGATTTCCCACACCTAAACAATGAGTCACACACTTGGTCACTACATTAGTCACATTTTTGACACAGGATTGGGGACGCACAATATTGTTTAATGCAATTATTTTGACAGATCTTATGACTAATATGCACTAAAAATGATTCATTCTTTTTCAATTTTTTTTTCACTGAAAAAACTATTAAAATCATGATGTGATATTTGTTGGGGTCAGTACCAAAACTTACTCGTGGAGAACAAGATTTGTAGGCCAGAGCCTGTCTGACGTTCTTCATTATAATGCTGTTTTGTCACACTTTTTAACTTTATCAAAAAATTGCAGCTTCTGCAATTTGGGTATTGCACTTGGCCATATTGCTGGGTTTACCAAATAATAATACTTTGGAATGTGAGAAATCACTAATTCCTGAACAACAGATTAGCTACTGCCCTAAAGTGCAACACAGGCCATTCACAGTTACAAAGCACTTTAACAAATGTGTGAGTATGAACGAAAACAATCAAAGAAAGCAAGACAAATAAAAACAGAAATAATATCACTGACTGCAATTCACACAAAGCATTACAAAACTGATAAAGTTGGTGCTCTAAGTGAATTAGTATTAGTAAGACATGTAGTTTTCATATTATCAACACATACAATATCTACAATAAATACATGGGTACATCTGCATGATAACCATTTTTGTATTTATTCCTATGTTTACTTCTATTCATCATACTGACGTAGTCTTTTTAGTAGTCTGACTTGTTTCCAGTTGGTTTCACAGTGGTTTCATTTAGACCAGAGAGAAGACGTGAAGTAAATGTACTAATACAGAATTTGCATTTACATGATCGTTTAAAAAAATCTGTATAACCAATACTGGTTCTCATGACTTCACTGACTAATCCATAGTAGCTTTCAGGGCCATGGACAGCGCCAAGAGTCATCTCTCTTTTGAAAACCAGTATTGTGTGCAGAGCTGTCCATGGTGCTGAAATAATGGGGCTGTCAGGTTGTTAAAATGATTGCACTCCGATGGACATTCATTTAAATTGTGATCCCTTTGATCCAAATGTCAATGTAACCCAAAGGTTCTTATTATATAATGCTGTTTTCTGTGTTTCCCAAGGTGGGTTAGTCTATATATATGTGTGTGTGTGTGTGTGTGTGTGTGTGTGTGTGGAAGGAGGGTACCTGAAATATGAGATGAGTTCTAGGATATTTGTGATTATGTGCTCCTGTTGTGTGTGTGAGAGTGTGACTCCAATATAGGTGAACTTCAGTACACCAAGTAAAGTTGCAGGAGGACATGAGAATGTCAGGCAATAGGAGGAAAGGGCAAATTAGTGGCTATTATTGTAGGTGCTGTGCCAGACCGTAAGTGCGCTGGTCTTGAGTGTGTCCGTGTGTGTACATACCTGCAGACAGAACACTGCCTTTGAGGCTGCAGGGCAGTGAACATGACGATGACAGAGTAGTTCCTGGGTGGGGCCTTGACGAAGCGACGGAACTTGTCCCCGTTCATCCGGACGACCGAACGCCGAGAGGACCACTCCATCATCTGGTCAACCTTCTCTGACAGCAGATTCTGAACACACAGACAAGGAAAAGGGCAGAGAGGACAATGCATCCCATTACGATTTTCAGATTCAAACAGAAAGATCATTCCAACAAGGCTACGGACAAAGCAGTTTATAAATAAAGGCTTTTCAAGTCTTTGTGTTCAAATGTACTCAAGCAGTGTACTTGAGTAATTCCATTTTATGCTATTTTATACTTATTATACTATATTTCACAATGTACTTTTTACAGATGTAATTACTACTTACTTTTCAGATTGAGATTTTACATAATCATTTTATAAAATGATGAAATGAAAACTATTTAACAGTACATAAAATTATTTTGCAGCATGACAATAATAAAAAATACCACTCGATGTTTTAATACATCAATAATAAAAAATAACGGTAAGGATAATAGAAATGATAACACGATTAATGGTGCCATTTTGTCTAATGAGTACTTTTGAATACATGATGATCAGTGTTGGGAAGCTGTTGGGCAATTTAATTACTGCATATAAAAGTAATGTGTTACTAAGGAAAGTAACTTTTGTGTTACTTTAAAATGTCTGCTTTAATTCTCTTATAAATGCACACAGCTGTTGAGAGTTGCTGTGGAACAAGACTAACTTATCTATTTATTAATCCTCTTAATCATAACTAAGCTTTGCTACAGTAGTTAGTTAATAAATAATTGTATTTGATGAACGGACAGGACTGTCTTTGGCCACCGTAAGGTCCTGTGACACTAGATCATAAACCGGAAAATCATCGGGATATGCTTGGATGTGTCAACTGTTTTCAAGTAGGACAAAAGTAATGAGTAACAAGCCTGACAAAAATGTCAGTTATTGTAATTGCATCATTTCATTTAAAAGCGTTACTAGTTACTGACGAAAGTAGTGGAATTACAGTAACATGTTACTGAATAGTTTAACCTTAGTAACGTTACTATACACTGCTTGTAATGGAGTATTTTCATAATACCACTTCCACATCACTGCTTCCGTCATAGGGGGGGAAAACATTTATATTCAAGTGACAGTAAAAAAGTTATTTTTTGGCCTTTTATTGCCTTTATTGTATAGTGAAAGCCGAAGATAGACAAGGAAAGGGGGGCAGAGAGAGAAGGGGATGACCACACAGCAAAGGGCCGCAGGTCGGACTCGAACTCGGGCCGCTGCAGCAACTCCGTACATGGGTCACCAGCTCTCTAGCTGAGCTAAACCGGGGCCCCGGAGTGACAGTAAACTTTGCAAAGACATCCTGGTTACCCCCGAAAAAAAAAAAAAAAAAAACAAAAAAAAAAAAAAAATAAAAAAAAAAAAAAAAAAAAAAAAAAAACAAAAAAAAAAAAAACAAAAAAAAAGAAAAAGAGGAAAACACAAAAAAACAACAAAAAAAAAACGAAGAAAGCAAAAAAAAACAAAAAAAAAAAAAAAAAAAAAACAAAAAAAAAAAAAAAAAAAAAAAAAAAAAAAAAAAAAAAAAAAAAAAAAATATAAAATGACCATTTGTACAATCCCTGATATCAGCAGCATTCCCACAGAATATATTAAAATCCTTGACTCTTCCTGTCTGAAAAACAGTCTCTTTCTATGACATTCCAACTATTCAATGACCAACAAAGAGCCTTACAGCATACCGGCTTTCTAAATGTAATGCTGATACACAACAAGGTGTTGGTGGATGCCAGTTCCTAAATCTAAATTTTAATAGGTTTGACTCCTGGCCTGTTTTGACTAATGGGATGCAAACAAAGAATCTGGAATACAGCAAACCTAACCATTATTTACAGAAAAGGAGCCCTGACTTGGCAGTCTCGGTGTGTGTGTGCGTGCACAGAAAAGCCAGAGTTGTTGGTTGTGTTTGTGTGTGAATTGTAGGAGTCTACTGTTGATTAAATCCGGGCCGGCTTAGCTAAAAGGTCACAACAGAGTCAGCGTCAGAACACATCGCTAAAGGTAAACAACACACAGCATAAATGTGTACGCAAACACACCAACTAGTGCCTCTGCAAGGTTCCTAAAGCTGAGGTGCTTATAATAGAAAACTCATATGGTGAGGTACGGTAATGATACAGTCGGGCTGGGTGTGTGTGTGTGTGTGTTTGGCTGTATATCTACTGTTAGACTGTGTCAGTTCTCAGCAGGACACTGCTTAGTTCCTACCAAACTTGAGTTCGGAACTGATGAGTGATGAAATACTGAGACTGCTGATGAAAGACTTGTTTTCCAACCTCTGCTGATCAAACTCTACAGCGAAAAAATCTGTACAAGAAGCACATTTCAATTTACAACATAAAACTGTTTTTTTTTTTTTGTGAAGTACACTGCACCAAATCTCTACTGAGGGTTTGTCATGCATTTTTCATTCAAATACTTTGTCCTCTCTGCATCTTTAACACATACAGAAACACTGATAAATGTTTGTTTTTCACTTTTCTCAAGCGACAACAACCTGACTGTCAATGTGATAACACAAAAAGGATCATCACCCTGGTTGACAGAGACTGAATGAAGCAGGCATTCCTCTGGTGTTCAGTACACACATATGACAAGGTATTAGATTAGAAGCATTCATAGTGATGATGTTAACTAATAGTAAATGAATGAGTTTGTCGAGGTTTTGAAATGTGCTTCTTCAGGATTTCTGCTATTGAATTACAAAATGCTACATTTAACACTTTAAAAAAGGCTTGATGCAGAGCTTGCTCTATTATACTGGACAAGGGACAAACATAGTGGTGCCCATTTTATTCTTTACTTCTACATGTATTAATAAAATGTATAGCCAGCTGAGTCAGCGCAGTAGGCTGGTTTTCTCAACCAGCTGCTTTATACTTCTCGCTCTCCATTGCCAGCCAACATAAGCATGCATGTCTTGTTTGGGCAGAGGGGCTTTTGATGCTAAGGTGTTGGAGAATTTTTGTAGTTGCACTCTGCAGTAGATTTACACCAGTTATATGAGAGTGGGAGCACTATAGGCCACTCCACGTACAGTAAAGTCTCTCCCCCCTCAGTTCACTACTGGATGAAGTAGACAGTGGCTAAATAATTAAGCACTGCGCCTTACTCCTACCGCTAATCAGACACAAAATCTCTCTCCCCCTCTCGCTCCCTCTTTCACACACACACACACACACGCACGTACAGTATATATACATATTAGGTCATCGGCTTAGCTGCAGACACAGAGAAGAGCCGTAAACTAGGGTTAGGGTTAATCTCTCAAGTAAACTGCCTGGAGACAAGATCTACAAAGGCAAACAAAAAGGAAAAGTGGAGGATAAAGAAAAGAGTGAGAGAGAGAGAGAGAAAGTCAGACAGTAGCATGGCATGTGCTTCAGCTGTAACACACACTCCCTGCACTAATGGGCCACATATAATGAGGGAGGAGTACAACACACAAACACATACACATGGGCGTGCAAGTCCAGAAGAGGTACAAGGTGCTATTTGTACACCTTTGCTTTCGTTCTCTTTAATTTATCTACCGACTTTTTACCCGTGTGCATTCGGCCCCAAAAGGAGAGCTGTCAGTCCTGGATGCCAATCATGCTGGCAGTAATGATGCACTGCCTTACTCGTGTTCTGCGCGCAAACACACACGCACACACACACACACACACAAACAACAGTGCTGAAAACAGACAGAAGTACTGCTTTTGAGGAACCTGTAAGAGATGATAAAGGTGCTGAAAAACAGGAGAGCAGGGCAGCTGGAAAGAGAGAATACTTGCCATTAGATAGTGTTGTTTTGAAGTATAAGCTGTTGTTTGTGGAGTCTTAAAATGGAGAGTCCTACCAAGAGACAGAACTAGTCACTAGACACACAATCAGCCATTTAAGTTTGGGATTTAAAGCTTGCATTATATTATTTATATATTTTGTTCGAAAACTGCATGAGGGTATGTATTTATGACCATATTCTGTAAGTGTAATAATGGTTCTACTCTAGAGTATGATTAGTGTCATTTTAACATTATTCAACAAAAGCTGTAATACCAATAACTGGGACTTGATAGTGAGCGCGAGTAGTATTTTTATTCAAAACAAAAGCCATGAGATTCAGAGTAGTGAATATGGCACGGGTAGGTTGTTGCAATGGTGCCGTGGATGCTGCGTAAATGTGTACAATATGCAGAATCAACCATTACAACAGGTAAACATGAAGACTGCGCTGCGTTTACCAGCAAGCGGCAAATTACCGCAGCAAAGAGAAGAAGAGAAGAAGAATTATTACTCAAATCTGACCTCATAAAACACAGTGAATTAGAGATAAAAGACCTGCCATTAATAATAATAGACTACCTCTAATAAAAGGCCTGGTTCACTCTTAAAGTTGTGGTAAATACAGCCACTATTTGAGAGTTCACAGTAATCATATTGTCTGTATTGATGCCTGTGAACTACAAAGTAGTTAAAAACTCTTCTAAGGAGCAATTCATGCACAGAGCTATTTAAATACCTTATGTTAGACCTTCAAGTGACTCCCACACATCAGTGTTATGGCTCCCTACTTTACCTAAACCCACACACACACACAAACATACAATACACAATAAGCACTCCAAACAGCCTAGGACCATTAAAAACATTTATTTTCTACCTCACTGAGCACAGAGGGCACTAAAATGAATCACATCTAGGGCGTGTATATTTGAATGTGTGTGTGCTTGTGTGTGTGACTAAGATGCAGAATGGTTTGCAGATATCTTGCCTTATCCATCGGCCTTTCTGTTACTCACTCTATGAATGTCATAACCTCTCTCTCTCTCGCTCACATTACAGGTCATAGGGTAGGCAGCAGACTGTATCAGTAGCACTGTGGTCTAAATCTCTCTAGTTCCCCCACTGCTCTCATTCTCATTGTCCATGTTTCTACTTAATCTTCAAGTGTCTTTTTTTTCTTTTCTCTATTTAGTCCTTCATTTTCTCTATTATCTTCCTTTTAGCAACGTCTTCACATTTCGTGCAATGCCAAGACACTAAGGTGTGTTGAGAAGCGGAATTCGTGGCTA